TCGCCCTGGCCTGCCTGTAGCCTCAGGGCTGGACGCCGGCATCTAGGGAGGTGCCTGCCATGTGGTGTCCCTGCAGGGCAGGGACTGGAAGGCCTTGCAGCCCCTGGGTCACAGCCGGGGCTCCTTGCAGTCACCTCCAGGCTCCTCTGTAGCTGGGCTTGGGCAGAGGTGCAGACAGTGTGGGGAAGGGTCTGCCTGTGATAAAAACCATGGGCCTTGAGAGCTTTGGAATCGTCGTTGCAGCAAACTCGGTGTGCCTGCTGTGTGCTGGGTCCTGGGCGGCCCCATGAGGATGGAGACAGAGAAGCCCCGCCCATCTGGGCTTAAGGAGCAGTGATGGAGCGTTACCCAGGACAGTGGCAAGGGACACTTCATAGCACTGCGCCAGATGCTGCCTATCAGTTCATTTAACTCTCACAACTGTAGGGGGCGGGTGCTGTTACTACAGATGGGGAAACAGAGGCCAAGCGGGGACTGGTGATCTGTTCCCAGTCACCCTGGGGGCTCGGAGGAGAGAGCTGGGAAGAGCTAGGAAGGTGGCCTCCTGAGGAACGGGCATTCTGGAGACAGAGCTGGTTATAGCTGTACTGGGATGTCAGATAAGAGCTAGAATATGCAAAGGCCCAGAGGTGGGCATGTAGGACACCAGGTAGGAGGCGTGAGCTAGTGGTGGCATTCAGGACAGGGAGAGAAATGGGCATTCCAGGGGTAGACCCAACTTGACTTGAAACAAGAAATGTAGCCCTTAACCCAGTGGCCCCTGGCTCTGGAGTCTTAATTCAGGGACCCGCCCCCTTGCTTATCTGGATCCAGAAACTGTCTCCCCCAAACCCTAGTGAGGGACCCAAAGTCTGCAGACAGGCAGCCTGGCCCTTCCCTCAAGGTCTTCCGAGTCTGGAAACCTGCAACAAGCCCAGAGAGACTGCTGACTCTTAGTTTGCACACAACTCTTGCCATGGGCACGTTCCCGGTACGGTGGGCTTGAGGGCTGTGAACCGGGCACCGACTGCAGGAGAGGTGGCCCCGGACCGGCTGGAAGCAGCAGCTCTGGGAGCTGGGGCCCGTCTGTGCCGGGCAGGCAGCGTGACCGGAGAACCTCCCAGGGCATCCCTGGCACAGCCGAGGCCACTAATTGTTGCTTAGTTGCTCTCCTGAGTCACCCAGTGACAGAGGCTCTGTGCAAGCAGAGGCCGGAGGGCGTGGGCTGCTTTTCAGAAAGTGCCTATCTGATTCCCACGCATGCGGTGTGGATGGAATTTAAATCGGCGGGCAGAATAAGCTTGGCCCGTGCGGGCCGCCTGTCCTGCCCATGACTCTGTGCCTTGCCTCTCTCTCATCCCCAAATTCAAGGCTAAAAGGCACTACATTGCTTTTACAGAGAGGTGTAAAGTGACTCAAAAGCGAGAGGCCACGCTGGGCGCTGTTTATTTCATGAAGTGCTCTCTGTGATCCTCTCCGAGGGTTCCCTCTTTCCTCCTTCACACTGGCGGCTGTCGGTGGCCCCATCTGTGGGCCCAACAAGCCCAGACACCCCAGAGAGGCACCTGACGCTGGAATCCGTCTGCCTGCCCGGGAGATAAGAGCTCTTCCCTGCTTATCTGCAGTTGGAGGTGATCTGCTTATAGATTACAGAATTCACCCCATCATCAGAAATTGACACATAGTACTAGTGATTTAATTTTTAAAATTTTTGGATTATAATGACGTTTCAGAGTGAGGCTCCCCCCTTGGATCTGAAATTCAGAACCAAAAGAAATGTGGCAGGCCACTGGTTTCATTTTCTCCATTTTCAAAAAAGAAAAAAAAAAAGGGAGTGTAGGAGTGGAATGGTCATGGAGACTTTGGTCCTTGAGACTCTGGCTGTTTCACACGAATGTGTCATTCAGCTCCTGGAGCCCCAACTCCAGGTCAGAAGCCAAATAAATGAATGCATCGGGTCCCAGGAGTATCCCAGGTGTGGAAAAGGGCTCCAGGCCCCTCTTCTGCCCTTTTCCCCGGGTTTGGGGAGGGAGTTTGAAGAGGCAGCTGTGGCCCAGAGTTGGCCTTTCCTCTCACTGCTTGTGGTGCTTGGGACAGGGCCTTTGTCCCTGGACATCTCCCCCTGGAACCTCAGGGAGCCATTTCTCTTCCATCATTTTTCTGTCTTCCTTGGGGAAGCTCCTTCCGGGAGCACTTCCCCCCAAATATTCCAGGGATTGATCTTCAAAATACTTTCAGATCTCCCATCAATCGTACCTTGTCTTCACAAGAATCGTGCGACCCATGTGGAGATGTTTAGTCCCAGTCTCACCGATGAGACAGCTGAGGCTCAGCGCTAGGGGGTGTCGTGTTTAAGTTGCTGGCCCCGTTGGGTCTCAGCTTCTGTATCCTTCACCTGGGGGTCCCCACCAGTAACGGTGCACAAAACGCAAGCCTCTGTCATTCATTCTACAACCACCCATTCAACCACGTTACCCCACAGTCACCTGCCTTCTCCTTAGGGACAGGAAAGAACACCCTGAAGCCTCCCCCAGCCTCTGAAGTGGGAGGTTATGCGCACAGTCCACCCACATCTTTCCGCTGCAAGTTCAGTCTGCTCCACGGAAGGGCCCGTAGAGCCACACGGCCACCACGGCAGCTTCTGTGGTCGTCACAGTGTGGCCGCCTCCCCAGCTCCCCTCTAAGCCCAGCTCAGAATTGCTCCCCAGACCCCGGGGGCCTCCCCGCCCACAAGTGTAGGAGGAAGGAAGCTTCACCTTTACTCGGGTAGGATTGTCCCCACTTTATAAAGTTAAGCCAAGATGAAGACAGAGCAACTGCCCAGGGTTACAAATCAGTGACAGGGCCAGGCCTGGGGTCAGGATCTGGGACTCACACCAATGCTTGGTGCTGCCTCCTGCGTGTCCTGGCAGCGCATCCGGCTCCCTTTCATGACTTTTTAAAATCTAGATTTGGCGGCACCACCATCTTCCACTTGTGGTCCGCCGTGACCACGAGATTGTTTTTCCCTGTCCTACCCGAGTTCTGTCTTTGTTCTGTGTCCCACTTCCCATTTAAAGCGAACTTCTGTTGCGGGTTCACCGTCTGCGAGGACCTGTTGTAAACGCTTTACATATATTAATGCGTTTAATCCTTGCAACGAACGGCCCTTTAAGGGAAGTCAGATCAGACGAAGGAGGTCTTGTTACTCCCTCGGAAGGATCCAGGGGACAAAGAGATTAGGCTGTGGCCTGGGCCGTAGCGGTAGAGCTGGTCTCTGAACTCAGGCAGGAGGGCGCCCACGGGGTCAGGCTCTGGGCTGCCACTCCCCAGGTGGGACGAGATGTTTGGGGATGTTTCTGTGCTCCCCAGACCATCAGGCCTGTGGGTCCTCCATCCAGCCTCAGTGGACAGAGTCCTCCAGCGTCCTGGCACCTCTTCCTGTCTTGAGTTGGTGGGAGTTTGGGGCTGTCCCTAGGTTTATTTCCCGGCTCTCTGGCTCGATGGGTCCCTCTGAATTTCTCCCCCATTCTCTGAGGGTCTGTTTGTCCACTTTGTTCAGTGGTAGTGATTATTCCAGCCAGCCAGGGGCATTGATGGGCCCACACCAGGTGCCGAGCGCACCGTGTGCGTAGCAGGTTCTGGATGGAGGTGATTTGGGGGCAGCTGCCGGCCCTGGCCTCAGGGATCCTGCCACCCTGCTTAGAGGCCCCTGTGAGTTAAGAGCTCCTGAATGGAAGGTTCCAAGGCAGTCCCAGCACACGAGACCTGCACAGGCGGGAGTGGTCAGGGACCCCCAGATCACGGAGGACAGGGGATTTGTCCCATGCCTGGAAGTATGGGGGGGCATGCAGCTAGGGAGCACAATGCTCGCAAGGGGATGAACATGTCCTGGCTCCAGCGTAGGCCCCGGGTTGGGGGGCCGGGGGACAGGAAGCTGGGGAAGGTGGTGGGGGCAGGACACGGGAATGAACAGCCAAGCCCAGCTCAGCTCTGAAGATGGCAGTGCCCATCTGGAAACCAGGGATGAGCACCTGTGCAGACGCAGAGTCTGGAGCGCCCAGGATGCTGGCGGCAGGCAGTGTGCGCTCACGCCCTGCCCGCCCGAGGTCGCCTGTCCACCGTGGTCTGACCACGGCCCGCGTTCTCGCCCCGCCCAGCGGCGGTTCATTCCCTGAGCGCCGGTCGGCGGTTTCCCCGGGCAGCCTTCGGGTCTGGCTCTTCCGTCCACTCTGCAGCAAGAAGAGAAACCGTGATTAGCCGCCAGCGCACGGTGACTCTGCACTTCTCTGACATTCCTGAGATACTGAGGAGAATGAGCCTCTGCCGCTGGCACCGAGATCAAGGGCAGGGTGACGGGATGGCCCCCAGGCGCCTGCCCCAGGAATTAGATGGAGAGTCTGCCCGGCACAGGCGGTTCCGTAGCTCAGATAACCCCCTTGGCCGCCAGTGGACAGCGGATACTACCCTCCCATTTTACAGAGATGGACACTGAGACCCAGAGCGGGTAGAGAACCTCCCCCGAGGCCTCGTAGGTGGAGAGGGTCCAAGCCCAGACCTTGAGCCTGCGGGGCCTGGGGCTCGGCCACTGCCCCTCCACGGAGCGCCCTGAGTACAGACAAGTCCCAGTGACTGTGGAGGGATGGAGCGCCCTGGGTGTGCAGGCGGGATTCAGGGCTGTGACCTCGGGAACCCTCACCGGCTGGGCCTCTGCTCTGCCTGCGACCCTGCGTGAGGGGCACTCCTGGGGGGCGACCCCGGTTGCCTTTGCAAACCATCTGGTCCCTCTGGGCCACCCGGCTCTGGGTCCTGGAACCAGGAGGCCTTCCGAGGGCAGGTGGCCTGCCTGGGGGCTTAATGTGTCCTTAGCAGCGAGTGTCTCCTCGAGGGTCAGTGGCCTGAAGGCGGCTGACCCAGCCCCTGCCCACGCTGGCTGTCTGTTGAGTGACTGACTGGGGGCCGAGAGAATGACGTGGTTCGCTTTGCCACGTGCTCCCTCAGAGGGCCGCGCGCGAGTGGGTCTCCCCCCTCTCCCCCCGCAGCTGCTGAACTCGCTGTCCGTGGACCCCGACGCCAGGTGCAAGTACGGGCTGTACTTCCGCGACGGCAAGCGCAAGGTGGACTACGTGCTGGTCTACCACCACAAGAGGCCCTCGGGCAGCAGGACCCTGGCCAGGAGGGTGCTGCAGAACGACGCCGCGCTGGGCGCCCGCGGCCGCCAGGACCGGCCCCTGCCCGGGAAGGGCAGCCCCGAGGG